TAGAATGGATAGAAGAAATGCAGAATGCACGTGTGATGTGAACATACGAGCGATGCTATAAATGCACAATAATCGAGAATTGTCAAAGGTAAATCAGATAGACACTTTCCAAAAGTGTTTATGCACACAACACCTAGTATCATCACACGACGATCGCATCACGACTCTCATTAATCCACATTTATTATGAATCAAATCACAAATTAAAATTCTTATTATTATTTCAAATAATATTTCAGTCCAATAAAAGTGTCATCGTAACAAATCGCACAACAAAACGACGTCCTCTTCAAAACACTAAAAGTAAAACATAAAATGACAACGACAAAACAAATCAAAGACACAACGATCTGAGATATCATCAACACTCGAATGAACCACTCATTCGAAGTCCACTATTCAACACACAAAATCACCAACGAATACCCCTCCTCAATATGATAATATATATGTAATCTGCCTTTATCCGTACCACAATATCAGTCATTATCGAATATTGCGAATCTAAAAACCACATATCTGGAAATATCTCAAATCTGGAAAATAAATCTTCTATTGCTAATTTTCTCATACGTCAAATCCGAGAATCACTTATCCATTTCGAGGTGATCCCTCACTCAAAATTCAGTCTTGCTACTGGGTCGAATAGCAGACAAGAGACTGGAATAATAACAATAACAACAATAAAGATGATAATAAATAAAACAAAGGGAAATACACTCAAAGGAAAGCACATATACAAAAAGTTATAAATCCCAAAAGCACATCGCAATCAAACGAAACCAATTTAAGACAGCAACATCATAATTATAACAAACAAACGATAAAAATGACTACAAGACGAAACTAAAGGAGAGCCGAGCGTTTGGAGTTGTCAAAAGTTGAAGAAGATGCAGTGAGGAAATGGGAATGAGAAATAATAACAATTACAAATTTGAATAAATGATTCTGCGATCGGTAACGACGATGAATGTAAAACAATACAATTTAAGAGGATGTTATTAGTTGCATTCAAACTGAAACGATTGACCAGTTGCTATATATCCCAAAAATTTGGCTTATTAAAATAACTGACGAGCGATAGACATCTTTAACCGAGAGAATAAAGCAGTCGCAAAAACAACTATGAAAAGAATTCGCTTTCTTCTTTTCTTTTTTTCAAATCAGAGAAATCTTTTTCAGATAACTCTCGGAAAGAAAATTCTTCGAAACGAGAACTGGAAAATGGAAATGAAGATTTCTTCTTTCTTCATTAAGTATGACTGATTTTTTGTTTGTTTTATCGAAGAATGAGAATAATAGCGCATTTGTTATCAGTGAACGTGGAACTGAAGTGAATGATCGAGAAACAAGTAAACGATGACTAAAAAGCAGAACGATAACGAAAATATGAAGAGAATCGCACGCAAGCACTAACTTGCATTCTTTTGCTCACGTACAAATAAATAAAATCAAATCGTTTCCGATAAAAATTAATCAAACACATTTCAAATCACAAACGAATTAATTGCAAATAAAAATTACTAATTTAATGCATGGGATGTGTATAAATCACTCACTGATGACGATATGTACAAAAAGCATCCTACTGATGCTCATCATGTTCAATCGCTAATAAGCAAATCAATTTATCACCTTACTCCTCTACTCAACTATTTTTGTACAACAATAAATCATTCATATATTATACACATCACATCAACACCTAACGTATCAATTTTTTGATCACCAAACCAATACTCATCAACCAATCAAGATCAGCATCCATTTGTCGATTTATGATAAATCTTCCACTGTCACTGATTAATGCCCAACTGAAGTTGTCCTCAAATTATTCACTTTCCCCTCATTTTGCTAATTTTACCACATCACATTGAAAAATTACAGTGTTGCTATATTGCTTGTAGCTGCACTCATTCTACTTCTCACAGATACCATATCTATGTAATCATTTGGTTAGACCCTCCTTTGGTTATACCATTTCCGAGCTTAGCATAATTTAGCACCTAAACGATATATTCAGTAAATGATTTCAACAGGTCAAAAATGCGAATCAATTGGAATTTCTGACTTGTAAGAAACTCAGTGACTTGAATACTCTGTGAAAATTAGCACAAAACTGTGAAATCAGTTCAAATCGCCTCACCTACCGTTTATATCCTCTTATATCCCGCTAGTTGCATACAACTGAATATAAATGAATAAATTCAAAACGCAGTGAGTATATGCGAGGTAAATTCACAGAACAGTCATGACAGTTATATGAACACATAGTCGCAATCATATTGATATGATATGATAACATTACAACAAGACGTAATGACAATGTGATACGTGATGAGGCATTTCTTTGCTACATCGTGACAATGACAATAACAATAATAATAATAATATCAATTCGATCGTATCGCATTCATTCCAAACAAATACGCTCTTTCCTATTCATCCGTTTCCAGCAATGCTGCATATTTGTTCTGCGAGGAGAAGTTTATTGACTTCGGCTCCACCTTCGGCATATCCTTTGCCGCCTGAATTAAAAACCACTTCATGAAGCCATCCGATTTGAATCAATCATTTTGATCAAACACACAAATAAAACAAACGATCATTTCAGAACACATCCACCAGCAATAAATCAACAACGAGATCGCAATATGTCTGTCTCAATTTCCAATACACTACCTGCTTTTTCTTCTCCTTTTTCGATGGTTCCTTTTTACCAGCGATTGGTTCTTCTGGTTTGTGTTTCGTTGTGTCACTAATCGCCGTGGTGGATTCGTGTTTTGTTGAGGTGTTATCTCTTTTCGTTGCGTAATCAACCGCTTTTCCTGTTGATTCCCTTCGAGTCTGGTGGTGTTTCTTCGATGATGAGTTGGTTGCTGACGAAGATACTGACGATCGTCTTGCTTGCTGACGATCTGCCTCATTGCTACCGTTGCCGCCAGACGCTTTCGGATGTTCTTCACGACTCACTGGCCTTCGTTTCTTATCCTTACTTGTGCCACCTCCCCCCGATGTACCCCTTCTCCCAACCCCGCCCCGTCTATTCGATCCCCCCCGACGTGCATTACCTCCTTCTTGCTGTTGCTGAGTTGATCCTCGATGGGTGTCGGTGCTATTCGCAGCCGTAATACTAGGACTACTTGCAGATGTCATTATGGGATTCTGGCTTCGTTCAGTGCCATTACAGCCTGAAGTTGCTGCCTCAGGAGGTATTTGTGGTGGTGGTTTGTTGTGTGATGCGTTCGCACGGAACGATGATCGCGTGAATGTGCGATTATATCCGTGTTTTGATGCACGATGCTGTTGAGGCTGATGTTGCGAACACTCAACGCTGTTTGACGAGTCAACCTGAAAGTCATAAAATGAACACTTCAAATGAATAAACCATTTATCATATACACAAACACCTCAAAACGAACCATAACATAGTCTTTAGAACGCGATCGAAACGAAGAGGCTGGTGAGGATGGACGATTGGTTAGAAGGGTTGACGACTGATTATTGCTGGCATTCTGCTGCTGGTGATAGGTGGATGATACTGGCGAGGTGCACGATGAGGACGATAATGATACGTTCGACGAGGTTGTTATCGAATGCTTGCGGGCTGACGGTTCGTACGACTGACCCTGAGCTTGATATTCATTTTGATCCACCGACTGCTGCTGATAATCCAAACCTTGCTGTTGTTGCTGACTATAGCCTCCGGATGAAATAGGGGCATTTGGGACGGTTAAGGGATGAGTGGCAGAAAGCTGAGGTTGGGGTGGTTTTGGTGGTAAACGTGGCGATGGACTCTGATGATGGTATCGTTGATTTTGATAATACTGGTCTCCTCGATGACGCTGTTTCGAATAATGCGTCCGAGAAGGGGATCTGGACGGGGGTCCGGGATATGACGGTGGTTTTGCTTGATTGTGGTACTCAAGCGTGTTCGTATTCAAATTAGTCATCTCCTCGATCAACGGCTCATCAAGCAAAGAATTCTGCTTGGTGACCATTCCGTGAACGCCGTCATGAGAGGCTGACTTCATCAGAACCACTTTATTGCTACCACCCGAACCCCCTCCAGCACCGTACGACGATGACGAAGATCTGCCCGATACCGCATATTCACCGCCACTTAACTGAAATCTTGCTATTCATTGAAATATTGATCAGCTCTTCGCAAATTGTCGCATTCAATTTTAACTTTCATAGATTTTTGATCTTCATCTCCCAATGTTCAAGCATCCACATCTTCTCATTGCATAAATGTTATCCAGGGCAATTAAATACTTTCAAAAATTAGCAGAATTTCGCTTGAAATAATGAAAAAATATGCTCACTTTTCTCACACTGGATGCTGACGATTTTCTGAAGGCCTCGTCTTCTAAACGCAGCCTTTCCTCGGCTTGCCTCTCTTTCTCGGAGGTATCCACCGGTTTCGCCTCACCAAAAATACTGCTCTTCCTGGCCGGTTGATCAGTATCGTCGGCACCGATCGGTTTCGTGCGAGGTTGCAGTTCGAGTTTACGTCTTTCATGATGTATCTGATGCTGAGCTTGGGACTGATCCTCATCGTGATACACCCTTCCACCGGCACCTGTTTGCGGCATACTTGTCATGCTATCAGTCCGAACTCGACCCATACTTCTGCAATCAACATTCATCAGTCATTTGCAAATTTTATAGTAGCCGAGTTGAAAATGTAACTGAAGTTCTCACCGGTTACTGATATCATAACTTGAGCCGTGATATTGCTCATTCACAGTGCTCGTCTCGTACATCGAATGTCGTCCGGCGTATGGGCGACTCTGCAATTTCACTTCGTTTATACAAATGACAAAAACGACAGCAATTTCAGAAAACAAACGAATTTAGATACACGTCGCTGTTGCTGATGATGTGGATTCGGCAGTGTATTACTCGCGTATCGTATCGAACGATTACCGAAGTCAGCACGCTTGTGATCTGCAAATTTGAATCTTGAATTTACGAAAATTAACTGAAATCAAGAACAGACCGTAATATGCAGGATGACGTTGTAAATCCGGACGTTGTTGTTGGTCTACATAAGGCAAACTTGCATCGTACTGAGCGTAAGGCGCACCAGGCCCAGCCCCACCACCACCACCGTGATAAGCTGATGATGAAGAAGGAGCTCCCGCATGGACGCCGCGGGGTCTAGGGGGAAGGGAGGCATTTCCAGTCACAGCTGCAGTAGACGATGTCACCATCGAGTTCACACCCGCATACGAGTTGCTTCGATACTGACCGTACGGACCATCCTGACCTGCCGGTGCTCCATAAGTACCGTAGTTCAGGTTATCGTTGCGGTAATCATCTCTACGCGATTTTGAGGCACCACGTTGTTGACGATGTTTCGGTGAAACCCTTAGCACCCGACCTTGAAGCTCCTGAAAAAGAAAATTGTGCTGTTGGCAGCAGTTCATATTGCATTTTGTTGTTTAACGTACCATACGATCACATTTCAGAGCCGTCAAGAGGGCTTCTCGCGAGTTGAAAGTGACGGTTGCAGTGCCACGCTTAGCACCATGTCCCTGCTCTTCGCTCAGCACCACACTCAGCACCTGAACTAAGCAACCATCATAAACCATCGACAAACATCCACAAACAATCTCACAAAACTTACACCGCCCTCTTCACCACCGAACGAATAGAACAATTCTTCCTTGGTCGAATTGTAATTGATATTTGTCACGAATATTTCGAACGGTGCCTGATCGGCGATGTACTGATGATCGGCGTTTTGATAGTCCATCGACGATCGACTATCGTAGGGGACATGATGTCGAGCATAAGGGTGCGATGATCTGGAATCCGATAAACCAGCCAACGAGGATCTGCGTTGCTCTTGACGAACACGCTGACGTGCGTTATCAGAGGTGTCACGAGCTGATAAGGACGTGTCTCGTAGTTGATCATTCGCATAACTTTTATCACCCTTTACACTTGTTTCGAAAGAACTCGTCTGAAAAGTGATCGAATCGTTCCAACAGGCTGCTAACAAATCATGAAAGTAATACACTGATGGAATTTCATTTGAATACACTATCCCATTTCAAATAGACTGAGAGATAGGTAGGTATAAGATGAGAGTGACTATCATCATTACTAATTAATGACCTGTTGAAGGGGTGACTGATCCGGAAATCGGAAGGAATTCTCCAAGGCTGCATCGGCCCAATTGCCAACAGACGACTGGTGCTTATCGAACAACTCGAACAGATCAAATGTCTTTTGATCGCGACGCTTTTTGTTCTTCTGCGTCTTATTCGATTGGGGCATTGCTGCCGTATTGTTATTGTTGTCATTATCACAATTACTGCGTTGCGTTGTTATGTTGTTGTTGTTGTTATTATTACTGCTATTCGACGTTTGCGATGGTGCATTATTATTGTCATTATCACTCGTAATCATATCACCTCTCTCCACATTACCGCTCGTATACTGCGACTTATTATTATTGCTGATCTCTGCGGACATTCACGTTTCGTTTCTATTGGTTTCAATTGTAATTTCTTAAATTTCAACAAATCATTAGTCGTTTCGAACAGCATTCAATCACTTACATTCGATTTATTCACGTTTACGGCATTTTTATTCAGAAACAAATCGATGCGGAAATAAACGATAAAGTAGCTTTGCATTCAGTAGTACAACATAACAGGCGTAAACAATTCTATTGATTTGCTTTTGTTTTCTTTCTTTGAGAAAATAATAAAATATTTCTTAACGAGCATCAAATAAGCAAACGTAACGAAGGTAACACAACAAAACATTCACAACACTTCTATCGTCAGCCAAACGGAAGTAATGAACATCCGCATAGGATGTGATATGGCTCGCAGATTAACGCAAGCCACAAGTTTTCAAAAAAAAAAATTATCCACATTTTTTTCAAAATTAACCACATCTCTACTTTTTTCTCCATCCAAAAAAAGGTGCATGAATTTCAGGTGTCGATCGTAATCTAATTCCTAGCATCATCGCGTGATTATCATATCAACAATCTGTATATCTCCGGCCTACGCTTGATTTTTATTCTGTTTAAATATAAAACAATACGAACCGCTCTCAAAAACACATTTTTACTGCTCAGTGAAGTGAGTGATGATTGACTACTGCACGCTTGTGTGTAATCAAAATTCATTATTACCATCAGACTGTATTATCGTCAGACGTTTCTAGTTCATCATAATAATATTATTAACGATGAAAATACTATCAAAAAGTTCATGATAATAATATTATTAACGATGATAATACTACTAGCAATTCATATCAAAAAAAGACTATTCATAGACAAGCAACCAAGCGAGCATCATATGCTAAAAGTTTGCTGAATGCAATCAGACTGTCATCTATCTCTTTCGATCGTATCACCACATACACAAACATATTTCAATATCGATTATTCAAATTCGATTCCAATTCAAATCATCTCACGAAACAGTCAAACATAAACAAACAAACAAACGATGTTGGTCAATAATTCGAACCACACAAAACGAAGCAATCGAACGAAACGAATCGATTTAAAAAATTATCATCAAACGTCGAGTCAAATCAAGTGATAAGATATAAAGACAGAAAAAATGAATAATGAATTTTAAATGACGCCAATCGCTAAGTAATAGGTAGCCGAATGATAAGCTTAACTGTGCCGCTGTCAAAACTATCGTCTGAATGTAGTGAAGAAACCGGGAACGACGAATATCATTCGCTCGATTTAATTGTACGGTTATGATAAGTGATCTCAATCCAGAAAGAGACATCGCATCGTTACCATGAGCCGAATGAACAAGAAATGCGTGAACTATTATGCACTGAAAAGTGCAGAACGGGAAATAGATAAGTGATTTTTTGCATCGAAAGCGGAGAAATAGTGGAATATGGAACGTCGAAAGAATCGTCGAACGCGGAACGACTTAACGAAAATTGATCGAACGAACGCGAAGTGAAAAACGACAAATGAATAGAACATTCATCGATGGCCTGCCAATGATTTGTAAGCAGCACACGAATACTTCTACGAAACAATGCCCATCCATCCATCCATCCATC